AACCAAATTGGGTCCTGCCACTTCATCTAGAATAGCTTCCATTATCTAACCAGTGTAGGTCCCACCATCCAACCAGAAACCAAAATGGGTCCTGCCACTTCATCTAGAGTAGCTTCCATTATCTAACCAGAGTAGGTCCCACCATTCAACCAGAAACCAAAATGGGTCTTGCCACTTCATCTAGAGTAGCTTCCATTATCTAACCAGAGTAGGTCCCACCATTCAACCAGAAACCAGAATGGGTCCTGCCACTTCAACCAGAATATACCCCAACACCCGACCAGAGTAGGTCACCATAGTATACATATGTCATTGACTTTATAATAGTTGCTTCTTATTCAGACAAAAGTTTTTGAGTTTTCGGTTCTTGTTATTTTTATCAAAGATTAAAAGTATATATATATCAACAGCTTATGTGACATGTTTTCCTTAGTAAATATGTATACCTGGTTAGGCCTAATTTAGATAAGTCCAATATAGGCTTAACTGTACAAGTATGTTCTCTACATTTTATAAATCGTGATCTTATAACAATTGTCAGTTTTTAGTTAGTTCATTGATATTTTTATAATTGACACACTTACAAAAACGACTGAATCTGTGAAAACCATATAAATCGCTAAGAAAAGCTTCGAATTCTACAGTTGTTGAGATTTAAGTACGATTCTGAGGTGAAAAAACGCTTTGTAAGTTTATGTTCCTAGTTTCTATGCCAAACTAGATCACGTCATCTATAAAATGAATCTTGTTTCCTACGAAAAAAAAAAGAATCTTTTTACTACTAAAAAACAAAATAGGATTAAAAGCTAGGCCTCGATGTAATTTGTTTTTTTTTCTTCTTTTGTACCCTAGTTGTCAAGGAGACCAAAAATCGTTGTATATTATTTGTCAAATAGCGTCTTCAGATAAGGTTATCCGATCATTTCGTTACAGTAAAAGAATGAAGTATGTGGACGTAGAGCGAGGTGGTGTTTTTGAACAAACTAAATCATCAGATGTCTTTAGTGAGCTCGATACTTATGATAAACGTCATAAAACGCGTCCAACTGCTGTTGATACCCAAAGAATGTCGTCTTTTACGTTAACTGATTCGGAAAACGCGCCTTCCCCGGAAATTTTCTCGAGAAACCTGTCCCTGAACGAGTTTTCAGTTGCTAGGAGCCTAAGTTATTCGTGTGAGGGCAATAAATCGAGGATCATACCAGGCCGCCATAGAAAAAGAATGATACTGAAAAATGGGACTGTCAATGTATGCAATAGAAATGTAGCCAAGCGACGACAGCGGTACCTACAGGATCTGTTTATAACATTAGTCGACATCCAGTGGAGATGGAACTTACTAGTATTTGCCATGGGCTTCATCCTCACGTGGTTGGGCTTTGGCGCCATCTGGTGGCTGATCAACTTTTCCCACGGAGACTTTGAACATCTGGGTGATGAAGAGTGGGAACCCTGCGTACACAACATAAAATCTTTTACGTCAGCGTTTTTATTTTCTTTGGAAACTCAGCACACCATAGGGTACGGGTTTAGGTTCATCAACGAAGAGTGTCCCGAAGCCGTCTTTACTCTCTGCCTTCAGTCCATAACGGGGGTCATGATTCAATGCCTTATTGTAGGCATGGTCTTCTCCAAGTTCTCTCGGCCTAAGAAACGGCAACAGACACTCATGTTCAGCCGAAATGCCGTTATTTGTCTTCGTGATGGTAAGATGTGTCTAATGTTCCGTGTTGGTGACATGCGGAAATCGACCGTCATTGGTGCCCAAATTAGTTTACTCTTAATAAAGAAAAAAGCTACCGCTGAGAAGGAGGTTCTACCTTATTATCACTATAAGTTGGACATCCGACACGACAGTGACAGCCTTTTCCTCTTATGGCCAACAGTGGTCATCCACGAGATCAATGAAACCAGTCCACTCTACACCATGTCGGCGGAGGAACTTTTAAAGGACAAATTTGAACTTTTGGTTATTTTGGAGGGAACTACAGTGTCCACTGGTCAGTCCTTCCAAGCTAAGACTTCTTATCTTTCGCACGAGATTTTATGGGGTCATCGATTCGAGCAGATAATAGCTTACAACAAGGAAACTGGTGAGTTTGTGGTCGACTTTGGGAAATTTAACAACACTTATGAAGTAGAAACACCGCTTTGCAGTGGAAAGAATTTCGACGAGTTCAGTAGGAGCCATGACAGGTAAGAAACCCAGAACTTAGCCAAAAATAGCAACTTGCTAATAAAACATTTCAGTACATTTAGAGTATTCGGAATGAAAAATAAAAAATCAAGTTTCATGCATAAGTTATAATTTGTCCTTAAATCGAAGTTATTGAACTGATACCAGAAACAGGTCAAAGGTTCCAACTGCCCACAATATACAGGTCAAATGTTTAAATAGACACAATATACAGGTTAAAGGTTACAACTGACCATAATATAAAGGTCAAGGGTTCCAACAGACACAATATGCAGGTTAAAGATTTCAACTGATACAACATTAGGTCAAAGGTTTCAACTGACCATAATATACAGGTCAAAGGTTCCAACTGACCATAATATACAGGTTAAAGGTTTAACTGACCGCAATATACAGATCAAAGATTTCAACTGATACAATATTAGGTCAAAGGCTACAACTGACCACAATATACAGGTCAAGGGTTCCAACAAACACAATATACAGGTTAAAGGTTTAACTGACCGCAATATACAGATCAAAG